GAAAACTTAGAACAAAATTTTCCATCTTCGTACTCATAATCGTTTTTTAAATTTTATTTCCAAAATAAACAAAATCAGAATTGTTAGAACAATTTTTTAAAACGTGATCTGTCAAAATTAATTACAAATCTCGAAGGTTATTAGAGATTTCTATACTTAACTTTAAAAATTTCTGCACAATTCACTCATAAAGTTTTTCTATACGTACATTTTATACATAAAATATGCTTATTGGAAATCACTCTTCTTCGAAGGTTATAAACGGCAGAAGTCGCAAATCTATAATTTTTATCAATTCTTCCACGTATTCCGTTTTATAGACTCATAGTTTAAAGAAGCAAGTTAGAATCAACTGGATCAATTCATTTTTCTATGCCCTATGATTCTACCAACGTAGATTAACTTCCTAGAACACGGAATCATAATTAAGTCGTAATAATATCACAGAACATCATCGTGACGTTATTTGATACTTGAAAATTAACTTATAAGTGACGAATGAAGTCATGATGATGTCCTCGTGATATTATTATGACTTTTATATTTTACTTAGGTTTAACCCTTCGTTGACCCACCTCTTTTTTCGATCGCTTTTTGACACACTGGATGGCTCACTTTCAGAGCAAGCAGTAGCGTTTAAACAACTGACATTCTTATTTAAAAAATTCAATTAATATGAAAAATTATGGGTCAATTTCAGGGTTTATAGAATACATTCAAATAGTTTTTGATTGAATTACAGTTTTCATTATAGTTTTTGTGAAAAAAATTCTTGAGTCCAATGAATAGAGGAAAAACGAGTAAACTCTATGAAAAATTGTAACTTTTAAAAATTCAATATTAAAAGTTAAAAATTTACATAATTATTGTTCAAATATGATACTTTGAAAAAAATTAATATGAAATTGGGTTTGGATAAAGGGTATTTATTTTGTATATTGAATGTAGGCTATTTTGGGAATTGAAAAAACAGATTTTTTTATAAACATTGAATTTTTGTTCTACAAAATAAAAGAAAATTGAATTTCATAGAATTAAAATAATTTTGTGGGTGGTTTACACCCAGTATGTCAACGAAGGGTTAATCTAGGTTTAACTAATTTTTTATTACTTTCTGATTCTAAAAATAAGAAAAAAATGAAGATTAAATTAAATCGAGATATGGTTGGTCTATATTGGTAAATATGAACATTATGGATGTTATTACGTTCTGTTTGTCCGATAATCATGCATGGAATCATAAATTTAATTTTTAGATATATCTTTTTATGAAAATGATGAAATAGATATAAGCCTGCAGAAAGAGTTATGTTATTTGACACGTATTATATAATTAAGAGTTATGAAGTAATTCCACATCAATCTCCCATTTACGCGTTTATTTATTAATTACATTTTCATAACGTTGTAGAAGAAACCTTGTGCCATCTTTATTAATTCAGGTTTTGCAAAGAATTATAATCCCCCCTCTCTTTCTCTCTCTCTCTCTCTCTCTCTCTCTCTCTCACACTCTCACCCTCCCTCCCATCTCTCCTCTCTCTCTCACTTGAGGTATGGACCGAAATCTATAATATTGGCGCCTCGCCAGGAGATGGAACACTTGGCTTCCATATACGAACTTATTTCTTCAATGTGAAAGTGGTTTGTTTCGTTTAAGGAGTTTGCTCATCTTAATGGAAATGTTACCATTTGCATAAAAGTTCAATATTACATTCTTAGCAGCATAACACAGTTAAAATTTTAAGAAATTTGTCTACATAGGTTGTAAGAAATCTGAAGCTAAAGATCATGATTTTTATGTATGTTCTTATGAATAAGAATAAGACAGATATATAGCTATGATGATTATTACGTTGTAATTTCGTAAATAATGCTACCATCTGAATAAAAACTTTTCATTATAAACTTTATATATCAATAAATTTGGAAACTTTATATATCAATAAGTTGGAAAAAGCACGATTAACGTTCACTGCACGATTTCTGTGTGACAATCAATAATAGATCAAAAAACTATTGCTGTCCTTTGTCAAAAGTGTTGGATTTGCTTCTTTCTTTGTCTCATGATTTTGTCCCATTTTTTTCTATGCATAAATAGAAGAGTCGCTTCCCTTACCGGACGCCCCTCGCAAAAGGTGAGTAAACTCCTTATCATAATATATTCCCAATAGTTGTGCCTTTAACGCTTCGTTAATATTTATTTTGGTGTAAATTAAATAAATAATAAACCAAAGATTTATTCTTGAATGTCTTTTTCTTTTATTATTAATATTTATATTTCAATAATTGGTGATTTCTCTACGATAATTGTTTTTATCAAAGAAAAACCATATAATAAAAAAAACATACAAAGAAAAACCATATAAAGATAAACCATACAATAAACCACTTTGGGCGTGAAAATCGCCGTGGCTAGATCTTATTGGCTATGATTTCATTTCATTACGTGCAATAATAACAGGCCGAAGAGTCGATAAAAAATCGTCACAGATGTATATTGCTCTTTTGCAAGTGTCAGGTCTGCTTTTATTATTACGATCTGTTGCGGCAGTCGTATTAATTAATTGTCACTTAATTCGTCTATGCATTCCAGTCTTGTTATATAATATAATATTATAAAGGTAATTTAAACGCATGCACCATATCGATAGATGGTCTTTGTGAGTATACTGTTATTAAAAAAAATACCGCTTATATTCCTTACGTCATTATATGCAAAACTATGTGTGTTCGGTGGCAATAAGTCTCATGATAATAATACCCTATGTTATCGTGTACGATAAGAGACATCATTACGGAATTTACCAAAAATATTTCAATTTGGACTGCACGTGTGGAACTCAGTGGAAGTTTTAGTATTACTTATGTAATACTAGAAAAAGTTGAAATCGCCGAAATCGATCAGAGATATTCTCTTACATCTTTGCAAGTGTTATTTATATACATCAAATGCAACTAAAAGGAAAGGAAAAATCTGAATTGGTGTGCTGTGTAAGAAACGATCCTATCTTAAGTTATATTTTAAAAGCAACTTATATTATCATGTGATATCGTTTAAAGTGATATAAATTTGGATGCACTATATCGCTTTTGTCTTGCCAATCTCTATTCAAAGTAAAGAAATTAATAAATCAATTTTTTTTTAATAAAAAGCATACATTAAAAATTTTAGGCTGGGTTTCATCTTTCGATATATTTCAGCTTACTCGCTCTCTCGCTTTCGCCCACGTCCTCTATCTCGTCCACTCTTTCTTTTGTTCGTTAGATAAATTATCACATAGTTTATACGAAGGTGGAATAATTAGTCCTAAATATTTTAGATTCAAATTAAATTATAACAACAGAAAAATCCTATTTTATAAATTTATAAATTTTCATCCACAGATACTTTTACGAATTTAATGTCCCTTGTTGTACCTGAGTGCATCTGACGTTCACATAATTATAAAACTGCATTTTCTTTTATAGTTTGTCTATCATTTAACATTTTTTAACAATAATATCAAGAATATAGGAAGGCAAATTAATTATGTAATACAATGTAACATTAAGTTTTTTAATTTATATTTATATTTTTATATCTCTCTCTCTCTCAATTTATCGGAATGTAAACATTTTAAACGTTTTACACATGTATTATATTCGAACGTGACTCTAATTTGCCCTTCTATATTCTTGATATTATTGTTATTTAAAAGAGTTCTTTAATTCAATTGTTTTAATATTTTTTTATCGAAAAAATAACCGAATGTTTCATTGACGAGTCATCAAAAATATCGGGTTAAGTAATTATCGTAAATAACTGATCGCGAATATTATCGGTAACAATAATTATTAAAAATCAATACCGTAAAAACGATGTAATTTCCATTTGTTAAACCGAGGAACCGCAAAAAAACTATTAAGTAGGTCGATCGCACTGACAAATTAAATCGGTGTGCAATTCTATCACTAATTTGCTTTTTTTGTCATTCGAAAAAAATATTTTTTGTTAATGCGAACGGAAAGGACCTGATTTATGATCCTACGGATCGCATTCGATGTAATTTGTTTAAATATCGATGAAGTTGTTTATATTAATGTGTGTACATCTAGATTCCGGCCTTTTGCTTTCTTTGATTCCGATATTTCGGTACAGGAACACAAGCCGTCTCGTATTTCATCGTTTGGAAAAACCATTAGCCAAACACAAGTAGCGTCCGCTTTCGATCAAAGAAGAATGTCTGACAGGTGTGAAGAAAAATTTGCGGAAAATATACTGCTCTTGCTTCCCTAAAGCAAGAAATTATTTTCCCTATCGTGTATAAAAGGCCGGATGTTATTACTCGTTCGTTGATGATCGGAAATTGATGCTGACGATTCGCTAAGCGATTACGCAGTAAATTCGCGACATCGTAAAAAGTTAAATGACGGTTAGAACATTAAAGGATTACGACACGTAGAAACAGAAATAAAAGCATCTTTATAATACAATTCGAGTGATAGCTATCGATTGAGCGTATATAGAACTTGATCAGTTCAGTCATTGTTGAGAACCGTGTCTCCAAACCTGCTGCAACTTGTCAGCTCGCGTAATGATACTTTGCTTGTTTTAGCGCCAAGACATTATCGTGTCTCCAGATTACCACCGACGAGATATGCTTTCACGACATAGATCGTCGAAAATTTTTGCAAATTTTTTTTAAACACATGACAGACCTATAAAGTGAGAAGAAAATTTTCCATCTTCTGCTCGTAGTCTTCTATATATAAAAATTATCGAACTTACAGAAACTAAAAAAGAAATATAGTAATAAACCTTTCGAAAGTAGAGATTTCAAGCTTTAAAACCTTTTTTTTATTTAAATTCCGTCCATTCTTAGTAAAATTATTGTATATACAATTTTGAGCTAAAAAACAGAACAAATCCAATTTATATTGTATGTATAAAAACCTAAGTTTTCATTTAAATATCTATTTAAAACGCTAGATTAACATTAAAAAACGTAAAGAATGTTTGGAAATTAAGTACAAAATTCGATTCTTTCTCAATATTTCAGAAATATAAGAAAACATTATACATAATATGTAGTTATAGAATTCAGAGAAGGCATTAATATTATGAGAAATATGTATAGGTTCAGTTCGCGCCGATAGATGTATAATGTCTACGCCTGGACGATCGCTTTACCGATGTTCTCGCCGCGCAGCATGCCGATAAACGCCTCAAACATGTTCTCGAAGCCTTTGGTCTCGGTTTCACGGTAACGAAGTTTGCCCTCGCGTAGCCATTGCAGATTCTGCATAATGCCTTCATTCCATCGATTCATCCAGCGTGTAACGAGGAAACCCTCTACTCTCAATTCATGTTTCGATAAAATGGGTTGCAGAATTGTACACTTTGGCAAAGACGAGCTGTCCGCGTCGTAGCTCGAGATGCTACCGCACACGGCTACTCGGCCAAACGGCTTCATCTGGTACATGACTGCGCTAGAGATATCGCCGCCAACCTGTAAAAGTAATAAATATATGGATTATTAAGGTCCCTATTCTGTAATTCTTAACGAGAGTGTCGGTGTCGTTACATTGTCGTTGCATAACTTTTTTACTATGTGTATACACTGTAAAAAATAAAATGTTAAATTTAAAACCTACGCAATGACAATATAACGACACCAACATTATCGTTAACAGTTACATATAGAACAATATTCTTCTTAGTTTTGGATTTTTTACTTTACCAAAGAAGAAAAAACTATTTTTAAATATTATTCAATGCAGTTAACAAACATGATTCTTATCTATCGAATAGAGAAAATCAAACACAGTGACTGCATTTTGTGCTAAATTCACTATCTCTGTGAAAGATTTTCTTTTATGAAAACAAATAGATAATCTTAAATCCAGCAGATATCCATCCATGTTCTATAAAAGAAACAAGATTTATTTGCGTGATTTGATTACCTTCTTACAAACCAAAATATCAATTTCTGCCGGAAAACAAATTTTTAAAAACAGAATTTGTAACTCGTTTTCAGAGATCACTCCTCTTATTATCTAGCAAGAAAAACTATTTTATGTGCAGGATAGCGTTAAACAAATGTCGGATACAGCAAATATTTATATAAACATTTCAAGAAAAAAATATTTGTTTTGCAATTATAAATATTTATAATTATATAATTTTAAATACTTATTAAATTTCATTTATGTTAGATTAAGTCAGATATTATTTGTATTATTAAATACATATTTCATATTATTAAATTTTACACTATACCAGAATGGTAAAATTCAATTTCTCTTGCGTCATTCCCCACCGGACTTGGGATCTAATTTTATACTGCAGAATACTGCATTACCGATCACACATGCCCTGTCGATAGGCAGATAGGCAACCCGTCTTACTGATGTGTATGTTGCGGAAGCACCCTGTATATAGGCATTTTAATCGCCTCAGGCGAATATCTTAGCAATTAAGAGAGATACAAGAAAAAGTTTTATATAAAAATTGTAGGTTTTCTTGGGGGAAAGAAGGTGGAAATAATGGATTTTAGATAGGGTGCACTACCAAGGTCAGGTCAAGGTCAACATGAATTTTTTAAATGGAACCCCCTATTTTTTATTACATATTCTTGTAGCATACCTCGAGAGCTTTCTAAAATACTATAATAAAATATTTTTCATCAAGTACTTTTCGAGCTATAAGACTTGGAAGTTATAGTTATACCGCCGGCATTAGCATTACACAAGGTGTCCGACCGACGGCTAAAACCTCTTGAATGTTGTTCATTATCATGTCCTGGATAACATTTGTTAAGATCAAGACCATTGGTGATTGTTTCTCTTATTTTCATTTTTGCTCTAAAAATTCATTTTTATGTAAAAATGAAAATAAGAGGTACAATCTCTAGTGACCTTGATCTTAACAAATGTTATTCAGAACATGATCTTGAACAATGATATTCAAGAGGTTTTAGCCGTCGGTCGGACACCTTGCGTAATGCTAATGCCGACGATACTATAACTTTTAAGCAGGGTTGGGAAGTAACGCGTTACTTGTAATGACGTAACATTTTCGTTTCTTTTTTTTGGTAACGCCATTATTTTTTTTTATTAGTAACGAAAAAGTAACGATGTTACATTTTCTTTAGTAACGAATAACGAAATTAACTCCGTTATTTTTTTATCGTTATTTTTTTATAGATCATGGCCGTCACTGGACAATAAGATTATAGGTACTAAATAAAAAAAAACTTTTTGCCTATATATTTTTTTTGTTTTATTCTCTATTCTCGCTTTAGCATAAGAACACTATAAAAATTAAAACATATATTATATAATAAAGTACCGTAGAATTAAACATAAGTATGTAAAATATTAATAAAAGATAAAAATGTTCAAAGATAAATATCTTTCTCAATATTTTATATTTAATTTATATTCTTAGCATTCTGTTTTAGAAGCCTGTTTTAACATTAAAAAAAAGAGTAATGATGCAAAAGACAGGCTTATTCATTAATTGTGATGAAACTAGGGTCATTCGATGCATTTTTGCAAGAAACTTAACCTCAATAGTCATCAACTTTAATCATTAATATCTCATTTCGCCGGGCAGAGCGACACTTATTTTTCTGCCAGATCCGTTCATTTTGTGCAAATACGCGTCGAATCGCCCTAATTTCATCAAAATCGGTGAGTAGACCCGTCTCCTAATTAGAAAAAAAATAACGAAAAGTAACGATTTTTTATCGTTACTTTTAAGTAACTGTAACGTGTTACTTTTAAAAAGTAACTTTCTCAACCATGCTTTTAAGTCTTATAATTCGAAAAGTACTTGAAGAAAAAATATTTTATAATAGTGTTTTAGAAAGCTCTCTTCTCTTTCTCTTTTCTTTTCTCTCTCTTCTCGAGGTGTGCTACAAGAATATATAATAAAAAATAGAGGGTCCCATTTAAAAAATTCATGTTAACCTTGACCTGACCTTGATAGTGCACCCTATCCCAAATCCATTATTTCCACCTTCTTTCCCCCAAGAAAACCTACAACTTTTATATAAAACTTTTTCTTGTATTTCTCTTAGTTTCTGAGATATTCGCCTGAGGCGATTAAAATGCTTCACCCACTATATGCATATATTTAATAAGTATCTAGAAATTAGTTGTCAGTAGTTCTATAATGTTAATAGAATTTGATATAACATAAAGAAAAGTTACAGCAAACAGTCATCATTGTAAATGTTTTTGAAAAGAAAAATTTTATCAAGAATTATTGAAGGAGATAAAAGATGTCATTTGAAAACAAAGATCTATACGTGTATTATATAAATTACTAAAAAAAATATTACGGCTACGTTCAGCAGAGAAAGCAGTTTTGCAATTGCAACTGTTATAAAATTCTGCCATATGATTCGCGCTTGCTTTAGATTCCTTATAGATCTAAATGTATAAACCAATCATATTGAAGAATTTTACAATAGTTACAAAGCTGCTTTCTCTGCTGAACGCAGTCAATATCTCATAGAATTCGTACATTATCGAAATAGCAATCCACGCCTTGTGGAGCAGCTTTGCGTAGATTGGACGCAACTGGCATAGTCTTGTAATTGATGGCGAAATCGAAACCCATTTCCTCAATAAGCCAGTTGCACTTCTCGTCGGAACCGCATATACCGATGACATTTAGGCCTAGATTCTTGGCAATCTGACCTACGTGAGAGCCGATCGCACCAGCGGCTCCGCTGACAACGATTGTTTCGCCAGACTTCGGTTTGCATAACTCCAGCAAGCCGAAATATGCTGTGTTACTGTTAACAAGAAAGAAAGAAAGAAAGAAAAGGAAAGAAGGGGGGGAGAGAGAGAGAGAGAGAATTTCGTGCAAATAATTTAAATTACTATATATTTTTTCTTGTTATTAACATCAGAAATCAATATTTATATCTCGAGAAAAAAATAAATATTTATCTTAGTCAGGAATTTCTATTTAATGCTAGTACCGGCTGGTGGTTTACATAATCTACATAATACTCAAAGTAAAAATGCCGTCAGCCTTACAGCAGATGAAAAGTATTTTGTCTCGTAGCGTCTATAAAATTTTACGTGTCTATATTTTTTGCAAGATGATAAATACATTAGCAAGGCGATCGAGTAAGCGTGTTAGCAAAAATTCTTACCCCGGCATTCCTAGAATGCCAAGACAAAGGGACGACGGCAAATCACCTATGTCTGGCAAAAGGTACGGGTGTTCTTGGAACACTAAATCTTTGAATTTTGGATTGACAATCGTGTGAGTTCTCCATCCCATGTTTCCGACGATCCTCTTGTTAACTGGGAAAGCTGGATTTTTAGATTCTACGATCTTGGCGATTTGAGTACCGAGCATCGTGATCCCGAGCGGATATCTTCTCACGTACGGTCTCATGTATGGGTCCACAGAAAAGTATTCAGCTTCCGCGAGGTATTCTAAAAGAAAAAAAGCTTTCATCATAAAATAATTTATTATGATTGTGATAAAATTAATTTAATATGAATAATTAAAATGTGATAATATTACGTTCAAAGTTATGAGGAAGTAATGTATAATTTAATGCTAAAATTTCACGAATATATTTCGAAAATTGTAAAAGTAAAAATGTGTTATAATAAATGCCTTATGTATTAGCATAGCATGGTATAGCTAAAGAACAAATGACTCCATAAATAATCATTAGAATTCCTTATCTAAGAGCGGAGATATTGAAACCCGGTTCCATCAGCATAAGATTAACTTTAATCTTTAGACTGCCGGGAAAACCACTATTGTGCCTCTTGAGTTTGGATTAAAATACCACTACTTTTAGTGGTATTTTAAATACTAAATGTATTAAACATATTTATGTACTAAAAAATAAAAATTATAAAACGTATAAAAAATATATATTAAAAAATATACAAAAAAATATAAAAATATAAAAAAGTAAAAAATTATAAAACAAGAAAAAAGTAAAAAAAAAATAAAAAATTAAAACCCAAAATTAAATGATAATAAAGGGCTTTTTATATAAATAAATAATAAATACAACGTAGGGCAAGTAAGAGTCTAACATAAATTTATATTCAACAACCAAGAAATTACAAATTTGGAAATATTATATTATATACTAATCAATTATATAAAATGTTTCGACCTTAAGATTAGCCCTCTTCAAATAAACGCATGATGTTACTACATTAAACCAGTATTGGTAGTCATGGAATTTAATGTAGTAACATCATTACGTTTATCTAAAGAGGGTCTAATCTTAAAGCCGAAACATGTTATAATTGATTAGTATATAATATCTTCAACAATAAAATATAAATAATAATCCAGATAGATCCTAAAGAAAGTCATACACTGTTGTAAGAGCGGAGAAATAGGAAAAAAAGATAATCCTCAGGTGTTGTTGGCTATCTTCAATTTATTTCGAACGTTTCTGCTCCTTTTGGAGTTATCCTCAGCGAATATAAAATCAACAATCTTTTATCGAGAGCAAGTCACTTGCGGATGGTCAGCAATGCAGCATACATTACACTCAATGGGAAACGATAAAAAACGAAGCTAGAACTTCTGTAATTTTTTTACTCAATGTGAATCGTTATTTCTGAGCTTCGTTTTTTATCGAGTGTAATGTACGCTGCATTTCTGGCAATCTGCAAGTGACTTGCTCTCAATGGAAGATTGTTGATTTTGTGTTCGCTGAGGATGACTCCAAAAGGAGAAATGTTCGAAATAAATTGAAGATAACCAGCAACACCGGATTATCTGTTTCTCCTATCTCTTCGCTCTTACAACAACGTATGACTCTCATTAGTCCTATCTGGATTATTATTTATGTTTTATTGTTTAAGATTGAGAGTCCTTATTTATATTTTATATTTATATATTTATTTTAATTGTTTTAATATCTTCAAATTTGTAATTTCTTGGTTGTTGAATATAAATTTATATGTTAGACTCTTACTTGTCCTAAATTGTATTTATTATTTATTTAAAAAACCAAATAAAAAAGAAAATAAAAAAGGAACTACAAACTTTCTATGTCCATGTCGTTAGCACTGGGTAATATTCTGGATAAAGAAAAGTTCTGAGTCTATACGTTTATGTTCATTTATGTTGTCTATATTGCGCTTAGGGCTCGAAATTTTGTACATCTATGTTCGGGATTGAAATCAGTTAATCAGCGATACCGAAAACCCTCAAAATATATTATTTTTATATAATTAATATACTATTTTTGAGAAAATAAGCATTTTTTATATTTCATCGTACGTTCCCTGCCGAGAAAGCTACTTTAGTGGCTCTGCACAAATCTCGAAATTTTGCGCCATGTGTATGTTACTTATGTAGAAAAATTTTTTAGAAAAAAGAATTACTATTTTAATGAAAAAATACTGACAGTCTAAAGGTTAATCTCGATTTAATTTATTCTTTGTCTTTTTCTAATAGTAAAAACTAGAAAAGGATAAATGGTAAATTATTATACTGGGATTAATTTTACATTAGCAGAACCAAATCTACGAGGGATCATTATACCTATAAGAGCCACAACACCATCCACGGAATACACCAAATCAAGTCAAGAGAAAGTTAAAATGACTCTATCTTGACATCAACATCAAAATGATATTTTTTTACAAAATTTGACTGTTTATCGATATAAAAAATCAAAATAAAGTTATTTGGATTTTTTGTTGACCTTTGTGTGTTCCTTGAATTTCTCTTCCTTTATATAATATATAAAACTTATAACAAATGAATCCTTTCTTTTTTAATTTTATGAACTTTTCCTATGTCTTTCTAATTCATTTTTTTTAATATTCACAAAATATACTGGGAGCACATAGTGAATAATCACGCTTGTAATTATATCGCCCGTTTGTAATAATGGACTCATCAATGCGCTCATGGATGAAAAGTACTCCGACATTGTCAGTGCTAAAAATTATAGTTTATGTTACAAATATTATAGATTTTCAATACTGACAGTGTATATCGGATTAACAGCTGGACATTTATCACGATTACGTCTTTTCTTTTTACCTCCATCCTGCAACGGCGGCAGCTCTTCTTCCACCAATTTTAGATCTGTCGGCTTCGCTTCATTAACGAAATGATTTACCACCACATATTTCCTCGCCTTCATTATCTCGTGTGATTGCGACGAAAAATTTCGAATACAAATATTCCTCGGAATCGTCAATGCGATTTCACTGTTATCACGAAAGGAACGAGCAATAATAGTCACGATGAAGCGACAGCGATCCCACGATACCTCACGCTGCATTGATTTGAACATGATCATCTTTATATTTGCACACAAATCGTTTGAAATGCGCAGATATGTTAGATAGATTGACACTAACTCTTAAAGAGTACGAGGTCTGTTCCAGAAGTATCCGACCTTTGTCTGTATCATGAGAAAGAGCTATTCCGGAGTGATATGAACAACGTCGCCTTCAAAGTAGTTTCCTTTCGAAGTAATGAGCTTCTACCAACGGTGCACCCACTTGCGAAAGCAATCGGAAGTCGTTTATTGTGATAGCCAACAGCCCCCTCGTCGCATTTTGCTTTATTTCCTTAACATCGTCAAATCTTTTACCCTTTAGAAGATGTTTTAACTTAGGAAATAACCAAGTCACGCGGGGCTATATCTGGATTGTACGGAGGTTGACGAAGTTGAACAATGCCGTGTTTAGTCAAAAACTTCTGAATCAGATGAGATGAATGAGTAGGTGCATTATTGTTCCAGTCATTGCGAAATGCAACGCTCGGAGTTTTCGACGCTCACACAGCTGCGTATTGTTGCCGACTGAACAACTATTGGGGGATCGTGCCGCTTGGTGGAGGTACTTCTAAAGGTCCACTCTAAATATTAAATTCCATAATAAAAACTGTTTTCCATAATAAACTGTTCAAGATCAAAGATATACGCAGAGGTCGGACACTTTTGGGACAGAACTCATCGTATAGTCAAACAGACCGATAAAACTTGTGATAAAACCTTTTGACCGGTATTTTGGGAGTCAAATAATGTGAATCATTATATCTTATCAATAGTATTTATATTCTAGTACTAGTAGATAAACGCTGAAACGGAAATTTTGTGTTGCAAGTACCATATTAAAAAAGCAATAAATTGAGATTAATAGTTAATTTAACTAATATATTCATATATATTCTTATATATATATGTATATATATATTTATGTTATATATATACATATATATGTTCATATATATTCTTATATATATACTTATATATATATGTATATATACATATATATGTTCATATATATTCTTATATATACAGGGTGGACCATCTGAAGTGATCCAGTCAAATATCTCGAAAACTAGTAGGGATAGAGAAAAATGTTTCGTATGAAAAGTTTAGGGTTAC